GAAACACTGCTGTGGGTGTTTCAAAGGAAAGAGAATCAGCAATTAGAGAGAAGTTGTTACTGTGCCATGCCTGATGTGGGACAGTTTCATGTGTTCTTTTATTTCATCCTCACAATAGTCATTTATGGATAAGGAAATTGAACTTAAATAACTTCCCCAAAATCACAGAACAAGTAGGTTGTCTATCTGAGGTTTGAGGCCAAGTCTGTTTCCAAAGCCTTGCTATTTCCACTAAACCAGGCTGCTAAATCAAGTTAGTTCAGAGATATCTGAGTCATTATCTCTACCCTCAGGCATTCACCTTATTGCTGGAGAGTGAGAACAGGAAAATAAACAATTCACTAGTAATTCATATGTGTATGTCATCACGTTGTCTCTACCTGGTGATGCACACACACAACTGTTGCTGCTTCCTGCTGCATATTATGTCTTAGAGGATAATTGTTTGGAGAAGAGTTGCTAGCTGGAGGAAAAAGAGGGACAAGAAAGAGGAACCATGACTACCTTCACCTCTATGTCTTTCCTCTACTTCTATTCCCTGGACTGCACCCAGCATTATAGTCTTTACTACCAAACACAGTCCAAGTTGTGGAACCTTTACTCCTGGAGAAGAACGCCTTGGGGTTAGGGAGCTCTCTGATACAATTTTGGACTGAGCATTAGTGTCAAAGACAGTAAAGATTTCTGAAACAGAATATCCTTTAGAAACAAAGATATTGAGACTACAATGCATTTGGCTTTGAACATATCATTAGGGAAAACCAGTTGCTAGGAAAGAACATCATATTTGGTAAAGTAGAGGGTCAGCAAACATAAGGGAAATCCTTAATGAAATACATGACAAAATAGCCACAACAATGGACTTAAACATATCAACGATCACGAAGATGGCACAGGACCGAGCAACAGTTTTGTTCTGTTACATGGAGTCACCATGAGTCCCACCAACTTGAAGGCAACTAACACAACGAAGATGTTTAATCTGACTTACTTTTCCTTATAAAGGTGATCGCAGTGGCAGCTCCAAGAAGGACCAAATTCTAGTTCAAAGAAAAAGGTGGGAAGGGGATCTACAAGCCATCTTCATTCTCAACATCTGCTGCTCCCCAGACCCTTGGGTGATTTGTCTCTCCTTGCTGGTTTTTGATGCACCGTGGTCGAAAACACAGTTAAGAGCAGAGAAACTGTGCAAAAGTTTTATTCTCCTACACATTCTCAAAATCTATTTTCTATAGAAGATTTTAAATAATTATAATTTAGAGGTTATTCAGTTTAACTTTCCTCCTATGTGGAAAAACTTAGCAAGTCTATCTCAATCATAGCATGATCAACACATATGGGCACAAAGGTAAAGGGTTATGGCAAAAAAAGAATATATATTGAGGCCCTATCTTATGTAGGCATGGAAGTTGATGCTTTTTAATAGATTATGTTGCCTATTCTTTACCAAATATTTTAGTAGTCCCATTTTATATATGAAGAAAATGAAGCATGGAAAAATTAACTGACACACAACTGGCTAGAGTGACTCCAAATACTGTGCTCCTCAGAGGCACTCTGGACTAATCCCTACAGACCCTGGCAGCAGAAGCCACCTTAGCAGCATGGCATTGCCCAGACGAAGGCAGGGTAGGTGATGACAGTGCACAGTCATAGACATCGTCCTTCAGAGAGCACAGGACGATGCCTCTACTCCTTTGGAGAATCCAGATCCTCCTACAATATTACAATGGTCTGGTTTACTCCTGGTATACGTAAGAGCAAAAGGAACAGCTTGGCTTTAAATAAAAAGCTTGTGGGAAGGGACAAATATTGTAATTCCACTTTTATGAAATATCCTGGATAGGCAAGTGTATGTTGTTATTGTTGTGTGACATTGAATTAAATACAACTCATAGCAATCCTATAGGTCAAATTAGAACTGCCCTGTAGAGTTTCCTAGGCTGTAATCTTTACAGGAGTGGATTTCCAGGCCAGTGAAAGGTTGAAACTGCTGATCTTTCCATTAACAGCTGAATGTTTAATCATTGTGCCACCACATCTCCTTAGACTTGTATATAGGGACCAAAAGTTATTAGTGGGGTCAGAGGGGAGGGGGATAAAGGGACTCATTGTTTTAGGGGACACTGAACTTCTGTTAAGTGTGTTGGGAAAACTTGGAAATGGATAACGATAATGGTAATGGTTGAACAACATGATAACCATAACTACTGCTACTGAGTTACACAGCAGAAAAATGTTGAAATGGTAAATGATTTGTTACATATATATTTACCACAATAATTAAAAAGAAAAAAGGCTGTGAGTACAGTGTTGTTTTTGTAGTCTTTGCAGTGGTAAGGCACTACTAATACGTGACAAAATGAAGTGTGTTGTATCAACAAGTTAGGACAGAATCAGGAGACCTCTTCAATGGCTCCTTAAGCAACTCACTTCCCTTTTCCAGACTCCCATTTCTTCATCCATAAAAGGAGAAGGATAACTAGCCCAAGTTTTCTTCCAGCATGAACAAGCTATTGGTGTGTGAAAGAGTCAGCTAAGGGTGTTTATTTGTTATTTTGACAGCATTTTCTTCTTCTTGGTCGTTCAAGTTGCCTCTGGATCCTTAGGGATGACAGAAACCAGCTGCAGGTGATTATATCGAGGATAAATCCTGGAATGGAATATCCTAGTGTCTGGCTCAAGAAGTTAACAATATAATAGAGCCATGGATGCTTTTGTGCTATGAAACCTGCCTTCAGTTAGGAAGCATTTACCAGAACCAATGGAGTCCTCGGATGGTCCAAAAGGTTAATGCGTTCCGCTGCTAACGCAAAGGTTGGAGATTTGATTCCGCCCAGAGATGCCTGGTGCCAGAAAGTCCTGGAAATCCACTTCCAAAAAAATAACAACAACACATTTCAAAGTAGTTCTACTAGTCCCTGTACCGTACCAGTACCAGTTCCACTTATCATCAAGTTGATTCCTACTTATGAAGACCCCATGAGTGCTCCATTGGAGTTTCTATCTCTGATTTTTTGGAAGTAGATCACCAGACCCTTCTTCTGAGGCATTTCTGGGTAGACTTGAACCTTCAACCTTTTGTTTGGTAACTGAGTGCTGAGTGCATTAATCCCTCCAGGAATTACTACCATCCAAAGACTCCAAGGTCTTCCTAAACCAAAAACCAAACCAAACCTACTGCCATTAATCTAGTCCTGACTCACAGTGACTCCCATTGGGTTTCCAAGGCTGTAAATCTCATCTTCCTCCTATGGAGCAGCTGGTGGTAGGTTTGAACTGCTGACCTGGTTAGCTGCCAAATGTCTTATCCACTACACTACCAGAGCTCTTGGAGCCTCATCCTCAGTCTCAGAGAAAATTGGCCTGACTATTTACCTGGGGACAATCTACTTCTGTAGAGATACTGCCTCAGAAACCCAAGGATAGGTCATTATGAGTCAAACTGACCGGACAGCAGTGATTTTTTTTTTTTTTTTTTTTAAATTTACCTGGGGAGCAGCCAGCATTCCCCAGCTAAGGAGGGGTATCACAGCAATGACTAAGTCATAATACACTATTATGTGTCCCCTCTTGCAGACTGTTCATGTAGAATCAGGAGACAGCTAACTTGTGGTGTAATTTGAAGGGATGCTGAGTAAAACCTATCCCCTTATATCAAACCCAAAGCTCACAATTCTACCTTTGGAGTTTTATTCCCTGACTCTTAGTTTACTATCTTTAAACATTCTCTAATAACTAGGGGGCAGATTCTAAGGAAATGAAACAGTTAGTCAAGGGGAAAGGAAACTGACCTGATAAGGAAGTAGAGAGATTCCAGAGGGAAACATGTCCTATCTCCCTATGTTGAAAAGTATTGGCCCTTATGCTGCCAACTCCAGACAATTTGAGTAGGAAAAAATTGCCTCTGGAATCTCCACCCAGTTAAGCAGCTGGGATTGGGCTTCTGCTTAGAGGCTGAGGAGCTCAAGTTATAGAACCAGGCTCTAAGCCATAGAACACATAGAACAAAAATCAAAGCATTGATGTGATGGACTTCTCATTGATAAATATGAGGTCTCTATAACATAGTTCTTTAGGGAGCTGGATGCAGCTTGAAGAGAATTTACCCATTTTGGTAAAAGGATTTTATTGTGGCGTAGTGCTTAAGGCATGTGACTGCTAACCAGAAGGCTGGCGGTTCAAACCCACCAGCCACTTCTTGGAAGGAAAGTTGGGCAATCTACTTCTGTAGTGGTACCACTTCGGAAACCCAAGGAGGAGTCATTATGAGTCATGTCCGACTCCACAGCAGTGCATTTGGTTTTTGGTGACCTCTTGAAATTTGCTTTTAAAAAAGATTTCATCTATAAAGATGTTAAAGGAAAGTTACAGTGAAAACTGAGAATATTGAACATTTCACATCTATTTTTAAGTTATTTTTATATTTTAGGGGCTTAAAACAAACAAACAAACTGTCGTTGTCAAGTTGACCCTGACTCATAGTGACCCCATGTATGTCAGAGGAGGACTGTGCTCCATAAGATTTTCAGTGGCTAGCTTTTCAGAAGTAGATCACCAGGTCTTCTCAGATGCCTTGAACGTTCAATGCTTGGTTAGCAGCTGAACTCATTAACTTTTTGCACCATCTAGGGACTTCTGTATTTTTCTTAAAATGGCTTTTTTTTTTTTTTGGTCGTATGTATGGAGGATGGTGATTATTTATGTTCTGTAGATAGAAGGCTCTTCAAATATACTCTGAGTTGCTTGGGTGAAGAGTTATATGCTAATTGACCTACTAATGGGTTAGATGTTAATTGACCCATTGTTCCTCCTAGAGGAAGGTCTTGCTTGTGTTTGCATTTTTTTCAGATAAATCAAAGGATGATATCAACTGTGAGTCACTCAAAGGTTTTGTACCCACAGTGCCCAGTTTAGGGCTATAAAAAGAGGGCCATTTAAGGAACTTAGACAGAAAAGGATCAGACTAAACAGGTTAAGTCATTCAGGAGAAGTTTAGAATGAAGTTTCTTCTATTGATTCTGGTCCTGCAAACCACTCCTTCTGGAGCTATTCCCCTGCTCTCTAATAAAACCCTGGAAGAAGATGACTTGTTGTTTGCTGAAGTAAGTATTGACACTACAATATTTTATTTTTAATATTTATTGCACTGGCTTGTTTTTATTTTTGAAAAGCACTTGTTTGAAAACTTACATAGGAGGCTCTTTGTTTTTAGTATTGACTTTACATTCCAAAGAGGAAGGCAAATTAATTGGAGATGTGAACAATAATTGGCTTGATTAATTTAACCACTTCAGGCTGTCCTCCTTCTAGATACTTCTTCACAAGCATTTTAAAAAATGCATTAAGATTTTAAAAAACTAATTTCCTTAGTTATAATCTCACCATTTTCTAAGACTACATTAAGTTTAAATTTGTCATAGATGCCCATCATGTTGAGCTTTGGGTTTAAGGCAAGGAATTTTCATCCCAACAAAAATTAATAATTGATGCATTCTAACAATAAAGAGGAGCTCTGGTGGTATAATGGCTAAGGCATTTGCCTGCTAACCAAAAGGTCGATGGTTTGAACCACCAGCTATTCTGTGGGAGATGAGACAGTCTGCTTCTGTAAAGATTTACAGCCTTGGAAACCCTATGGGTAGTTCTACTCCATCCTATATATATGGTTGCTATGAATTGAAGTCAACTTGATGGCAGAGAGTATTTTTTTTTTTTTTTTAACAATAAAGAATTTGCTCCTTACTAAATGTAATATGTCATACATCTAATTTAAAATTCTAATTTTAAAAATACATCTAATTTAAAAAATACAACCTATTGATGATGCAATAGGTTTTAAAGAGTAGAAACAAGTTTGAGGAGGTGGAGACATAATGGTGCTTCCAATGAGTTTCTAGAAATTAATCTTTGTAATTTATGACATGTCTTTGACAGCACAAAGTATTGATTTTTTTTTTTCATTATAATTAGTGGTCCAAAATACTTGGTTCAAAATATCAGTTAATTTGAGTCATGCAGACGTCACATGAGCACCAACAGAAACATCTACCTGGATAGTACTGTATTACCAAACGTATTTTTTTTCCAGAAATACTTGGAAACCTTTTATGACTTTGATGTGGAAAGAACACCAAAGACAAAAATGAAAGTTAATGGGAGCTTCCTGAAGAACAAAATCAAGGAAATGCAGCAGTTCTTGGGGCTAGAAGTTACTGGGCAACTAGATACACCCACTCTGTCGATGATGCGCACCCCTCGATGCGGCGTATCTGACGTTCGTCATTACCGGGCTATGCCAGGGAGGCCAGTATGGAAGAAACATATCATCACCTACAGGTAACATTGTAGCCATGCACTTTTCTGCTTTTTCAGACGTGCGACTTAGAAAAATCTCAACTATTTTAGTTATAGCCCAAACTGAGGCAGTATAATACTGGAAAAAAATACTCCATGCATAATCAGAGTAGAATTGTTTTCAAAGGCTTGTTGTTTTTGGAAGTAAATCACCAAGGTTTCTTCTGAGATCCCTCTGAGTAGAACTGCATCTCCAAATAAATGGACCATTTGCATCACCCAGGGATATTAAAGTTCATTATCTATAGAAGGGAGAACTGTTCACCTAAGCAAGATTGTTGGCTGTCAGAGCAGAACAGAATAGAAAAGCTGCAAATAAAAGTGAAGCAGAATCTACTGTAAGTGTCAAGAAATTTTTATAGCATATTCAGGTAGATAAAAGAAGAAGTTTGGGATAAAGGTAAAAAGAGGTGTAAGTTTCTATGGAAATAATTCATAACAAAGAAAAAAATGAAGGTAGCTTTTGTTTAAGAAAGATGTCTATGGAAAAGAGAATTATGTATTTAACAAAGCAAGTTTTTCTTATTTAGAATTTTGACTTGTGAAATACTTTATCCTCTAATATTGCTGGCAGAAATGAAACACTACTGTAATATAAAAATAATGTTTGTATTAATTAATATTTCCATATATTTTTCTCTCTTCTTGCTGATAAAGAATCCAGAATTACACACCTGACTTGGCACATGAGGATGTTAACTATGCTATCCAGCAAGCTTTTCAAGTATGGAGTGATGTGACACCCCTGAAATTCAGAAAGATTAATGCAGGACAGGCTGACATTATGATCTTATTTGCATACGGAGGTAGAGAACGTAGACTTGCTTAATCTGTGTCTTTTGGCATGACCTACAGCACATATAAGATTAATTTTCTTGCCTTTTTCAAAAGCTCATGGAGACTACTCTCCTTTTGATGGAAGAGGTGGAGTCTTAGCCCATGCTTTTCCACCTGGAGCTGATATTGGAGGAGATGCACATTTTGATGAGAATGAAATCTGGACTAAAAGCTCCAAAGGTAGGTAAAAAAATATCACTTTAAAACAAATTCTAAATTATTTCCTGGTTTTGACAGGCTATACTTTGAGAAAAATTGTAGGAGGGAGAAACTTGTTCTGATTCTAACATTGCCATTAAATAAAGTATACCTCATATGTCTGGTTCTCAGTTTATCCTCGGTAAATCGAAGCTATTAGATAGCTCTGTTTATGGCCATTTTTAAGATCTATGAGAATGTGCTGAACTCGAGAACCTTGAGAACCATAGCATGGAAAGGTAAAAGTTGTGATTTATTTAGGTGATCAGATTTGCCAGTGAAATCCATAAACTCAAAAGCACAAGCACTGATTCTGTGTGCCAACCACCGTAGAATAAGTGTTCATCTGAATGATCCACAATATGCTAACATTTCTTAGATTCATAGGGACAAAAACTAATTAAAGAGACAGTTGGGAGATAGTGTTAACTAAGCTCCTTTGTTATTTGGGTGATTACTATATATGGGAAAGTTCAAACCATCACCAAACTTTCCTAATCTTTCTACTGGAAATTCTAGATTATATGACTTTCACTGCTGTGGAGAGTAAATGGAGGAAAAGTTATCAAGAATATGCTCTACTCAGCATCCCCACCTCTCTAGCTGCTATTGCACACAATGTTGTTGTTGTTGTTATGTGCCGTGGAGTCGGACCCGACTCATAGCGACCCCTCCTTGGGTTTCCTAGGCGGTATCACTATGGAAGTAGATTGCCCAACCTTCCTTCTGATTGCACACAAAGGGTGGGAATATTTCTATAGATATAAACCCAACAGAAAGATTTATTTTAGTCTGAAACACGGCCTGTGCCTTGTGAAGTTCTTGAGAAAAGGACTCTGCCATTGTAAAAAGACCACAAAATCATGTAGAATTAGGTCCTTGCTGAACTCCAAAACACAGCCAGATGGTATTACTTTATCTAAACATTATCCATGGTTATTTGGGGTTATTTGTAACATCTTCACCTGATAAAAAGGGGAACTTGTGGTGGTCATCTTCTGCAGAATGTTTTGGAATTCTAAAGGACCTTAGATCATTTAATCCAGAACTTTACATATGTTGTTGTTGTTGTTATGTGCCGTCGAGTCGGCCCCGACTCATAGCGACCCCTCCTTGGGTTTCCGAGGCAGTATCACTACGGAAGTAGGATTGCCCAACCTTTCTTCCAAGGAGTGGCTGGTGGGTTTGAACTGCCAGCCGTCTGGTTAGCAGGCAAGTGTCTTAGCCACTATGCTACCAGAGCTCCCAACTTTACATATAGAGGACCAAGAACACCAGGGCCAAAACATGTTCCTAGCCTGACACATACTTTTGACCTGTTTATGTTGCTTAAAGGTACATAATGTACCTTTCAAAAAGGTACATTATGTATAAAAATTCTAATTTATAAAATACTTATTCTCAGACTACTTTTTGACCTACAGTCTCCAGTAAATTAAATGAACAATCTCAATGCTTTCTCAATTTCTATTATGGTGTTGGGTGGTATGTGTGTTGAATAAAGAGAAAAAAAAAAAAAAAACCCACAGTTTGGCCCTTACGAATATAATTTAGCGGGGAAACAGGATACAAACAAATCTAATATTTTGTGATGAGAACCAAGAATGTGGTTTGTAAAATGCACTATGAAAAATATGATAAATGCAGGCCAAATTACGAAAGGTTTTGTTTGCTCTTATTTCTGGTATTATACACAGTGGAGAGAAAAAAAACGAAGCTCCTGCTGTTGACTCCTCTGTTACAGTAGGAAATATTTGTAGGGTCTGTGTTCCTAGACACTTCCCAAGAGATATGGGCTCTAGTTCATATTCAGATTTTAGAAAATTATTTCAAAGCCAAGCTTTGTAACTAAGTAATGTGTGACTCTTTGAGCCTCAGTTTTGCCATAGAAAAAGGAAAAAAGATAACAAAAATGAAAGCAATAGGCTTGAACACAGATAAGTATCAGTTAGAAATTGCTCAAATCTTATGAAATCGAGAAATCTAAGAGAAGGGACATGGCTCTTTCAGGGACATGCCCCTTTCTCTTATCTATCAAGGTACATTCTCCAGGGCATACTGAAAAAATGCGCAGGCAAAACTATTGCTTTACTAAGTTAAATGTGTCCAAATTCTAAGCATAATCTCTTCGATTTCATTTAGCATCATATATAATAAAAGCATGAGCTTAGAGCCAAGAAAATTACATTTGAACCTTGACTCAAGTATGATGGTTTCCTTTCAGTTGCAAGGATTAGACATAATGCTTTATGTTACTCAGTGACTCATAGTGTCTGGAACAGCATTAGCATTCTAGAAATGGTTTTAAATTGTGGGAAGATAAAGGAGGAACTTAATGATGGTTTTTTATTTGCATTTATGAAGAGAAAGGAGGATTACTAATGGTTTTCTGTATCTACTGAAGTCTGATTAAGAGGAAAATGAGAAAGGTGGTATGATTTAGAAACAGTGAAAACTACTGGATACAGGCATGAAATTCCAGAAATTTTCATAACACAATATATTTTATGTCTGTTAGTGCAATGGTTCTTAACTTGAAGGTGATTTTGCTTTCAAGGGATGTTTGGAAATGTCTGGAGATGATTGCCATCTATTGGCACTTAGTGGGTAGAAACCACAGATTGCAAAACATACAGTAAAGCACAGGATAGCCACTGAGGAAAAAGAATTATATAGCTTAATGTCAGTAGTTGCAAAGTTCAGAAGCTCTGTTCAGGTTAACAGAAAACAAATAAGATTCCCAGAGAGAGTCCCTTTTCAGTGTGTCAATGTCTCATCTTATTGTCTTCTAGATGTCAGAGTATTTCACTGATTTTTCCTTTTGGTTGGTTTCCTTTTAGGCACAAACTTGTTTCTTGTTGCTGTTCATGAGATTGGACATTCCTTGGGTCTTGATCATTCCAGGGATCCAAAGGCTATAATGTTCCCCACCTACAGTTATATCAACACCAACACATTTCACCTCTCTACTGATGACATACGTGGCATTCAGTCCCTTTATGGTGAGTTGAATTTCTTTACCATTTTGCTCTTATGAATAATCTAATGCCAATGTTTGCATAAAGATTTAACAGCTGTCTTTTCTCTTAAGCCCTGTAGGAACACTGTGAGATAAGTAGCATAGATACTACATTCATTTTACAGATGAAGACAAGAGATCTAGTAGTTCCCTTAAAGTCCTAGTTAATGTTAGAACCCAAGGCAGAACCTGGGTGTCCAGGCCTCAAATCCAGTGGTGTTCTTTCTGTCCAACATACCATAGCCATATTGGAGAAAGTACATATCTGCCAGTGAAATCCATAAACTCAAAAGCACAAGCAACCAGAGAATTGGCAGATATTCATCTCTCCATGAAATAATAACTATAAGAAAAAAGATTTATTATATATACTTTCTGTGGATGTCACAGAAAATTTAAGTTGCTTTTTTATGCATTATTCATAAAAAACGTAATGTTAAAATGTTTTCCTCTTATGAACGGAAACACAGATTTTTTCTAATGTTTCTTAAAACATGTTTTCAGGAGGCCCAGAAAAGCACCAACCCACGTCACCTCCTGACAGTACAGAATCAGTTGCCTGTGCTCCTAACTTGGGTTTTGATGCGATCACTACAATCGGAGACAAAATCTTTTTCTTTAAAGACAGGTAGGATTGTTTTCAAATCTAATCAATATTATAGGGTCTTTCCTTAGATTTTTTTTTTTTTTAAAAAGAATAGTAGAAACTGAAGTAGGTAAAACTTGTAAGCAGGAGCTTGGACTCAATAATGTAGTCACTGGAGAGACATTAAAGATTTTGCAGCAGGAATGCTGCATGGTTAGATTTTTATTTACCTAGAAAAGTAGTGTGTGAAGAAGAAGGATTTGAGGTAGGAATCTGGGTTGTGGAAAGATGAGAAAGAAGAGAAGTCATGCTATTGTAATCATATATTAAAAATAGTGAACTAGGTCAAAGACAGTAACTAAAAGGAGATTAGCTTGAAAAGATACCTGAAAAAATTAAGTAGACTTGATTTCTTGATGATAGACAACTCCAGGACAATTTATGGTTTCTGTATTGGAACACAAGTAGAAGCAGGTATTGGTGGGGAGAGTACAGAAGATTAAATCCCAAGCTCCAGGATGTTATCATATACTGGGTGTTTCCATATACCAGGCTTCCTATTCAAATCATTATCATCAAAAAGAATTGATTAAGATCCTTTCCCTGTGGTGCTCCTACCCTGAGAATTTGCAAAAAGACATCTATGCAACAGAATGTGATGATAATGGAAATAAATATTAAGTCATTTCACAGGTCTTTTCCATTAACTTTTCATGATTCTTGAGTCTACAATGATTTTTAACACATGTTAATTGATTTTCATATCAGATTCTTCTGGTGGAAGTTTCCTGAGTCATCAAGGATGAGTGTTAATTTAATTTCTTCTTTATGGCCAACCTTGCCATCTGTCATTCAAGCTGCTTATGAAATTAAAACCAGAAATCAAGTTCTTGTTTTTCTTTTTAAAGGTAATTTCATTGTTTAGTTTTGTCGTTGAGTCTATTTCAAAGAAGAGAACAGGAATCAACTCAGTGTCACACAACATTAACTTAACATGGGCAATATTAGTAATGTGTCTCCGAACTATAAGCCAAAATAGTCTTAATATGTAGGTAATACGTAAAACTTTCAGATAGATAGTCTACCAATTTGTGAAAAGAGGGTAATATTTGTGAAAACAGATGTGGAACCATAAGAGACCACTTAAAAATGCTTTTATTGTGGTAAAATGAATATGACAAAATTTTGCCATTTTAACACTATTTAAGTGTACAATTCACAATACTGTGGAAACTAGATAGATGCTTTTAATGGACATTTATGGACATTTTCATCCATTAATTACCCCAGATTTTCTAGTTTAAAATACATTGAAAGAATGGAAGAGAATGAATTGATGCAGATTTCTGTTCTTTCATATATTCATGAAAAATTCCTAGGTTTTTCTGGTGTGGAACAGGAGTAATGGTAATGCCATCACTGCAAACTGGTTTAGCTCTCAGTCAATAGACTGAAAAGCATGAACAAAACTGAACTGGGGACAAATGAAGTAATGCTGAGTCAGTATTTTTTTTAACTTTTTTTTTTTTTTAATGTGTAATTGAAATGTACTCTTTTTCTTTACAGATGACAAGTACTGGCTAATCAGCAATTTAAGTCCACAGCCAACCTATCCCAAGAGCATACGTTCTTTTGGCTTCCCTGACTCTGTGAAAAGAATCGATGCAGCTGTTTTTAATCCACGTATTTATAAGACTTACTTCTTTGTAGATAATCAGTATTGGAGGTGAGCTTTAAAAGTTGGTAATTTGACTCCTGACACATGTGAAACAGGCATGAAATGGGGTTTTGCAGAAGGTGGTTTTTCTATGCAACCTCCCAAAGATGTTTTTACCTTCCTAGGAAGATAGATCTAGATCAAGAGAACAGAGGACTGGAACAGTTATTGCCAACTTAGTTCTTTACTCTGAACTTTTGGATTCGGTTGTCACTTTGAAGGCTGAAAGAAACAAAATCCTTCCTGGAAAAGAGAATTTAGGAAAGAGACTGGAGCCTAACTATACAGCCTGGAAATGATGAAGGGCTGATTTTTAGTTTTTCTCTATCATGAATATTTCAAACCCCAGGGCTCCATGGTTCTTAAACCTGTTGTCCTATTATCTTCTGAGAAAAAATGCTTGTTTTTGACTCAGTGGGAATTTTTGAAAAGACAATGACAGGCAACTAAATAATTGATCAGTGGGGGCCTATGCTGAAGTCAAATCACCTTCAATACCAGGCTCCAATTAAATCAGGTCTGTGCCCTGGAGAAAGCATTGTGAGGTAGTGGAAAAGAGCTTAACTAAAGGGAAGGAAGCCTAGGTTTTGGGTCCTATAGGGATTTAAAGTGAAACATTTCAGGTCATTGATTTTCTTATTGGTGCTGTCTAGACCCCTTCAGGAAGAGACTTCCAAGAAAGAAGTTGAGTTTTGGGGTTGGGAGTTTCATGTTGTGAAATGCATTTTCTGATTAAGTTCTTGCTTTCTGTTTCTTTGCTCAGGTATGATGAAAGGAGACAACTTATGGACTATGGTTATCCTAAATTGATAACCAAGAACTTCCCAGGAATTGGGCCTAAAATCGATGCAGTGTTCTACTTTAACAGTAAGTTGATTATGAAGACATGAAGATATATATGGGCTTGGCTCAGAATATGTGAACTAGAAAAATGAGGAAATGGCTATAGAGGCAATGGCTTATTCCTAGGGTGATCTGGCAATAGTGAGATGTGGTTATTGCAATGTATCCGAGTCTCTGGAATTTCCTACAACCACACTCAGTTGCATAGTGTATGGAATGCACACATGGGCAACTGAGATAGGCAATCTGAAGTCTGCAGAGTCTTTTATACTTTAAACCTTGCATTCTTTATTTCAGCCTCTTCAATCCTTCATGGGCCCTCATGAACTGGGGCTACAGATGGGATAAGAGAAAAGTTTGTGTTTAAATGTTTTTAAGCAAGGTCAGCCTAAGCAAAACTGTTAAGTAGGCCAAGATTTTTTTTCACTTCCTCCATTTATTTATCTGAAGGAAGGTTGGTAGTGATACTGCCTTGGAAACCAAAGGAGGGGTCGCTATGAGTCAGATCTGACTTGACGGCAGTGAGTTTGGTTTTGTTTGATACCCTACCTGGCCTCAGTCTTCTCTCTTCCACTCTGAGTCTGAGACTTTTCCAAAACATTTGCATCTTAACGGTCAGTCTTTGGAGACCAAACAATCCTCTCAAGTAAATTAATAAAAATATTTAACTGTGGAAAGACAGGGTTTTTTTTTTTTTGTTGTTGTTGTTTTGTTTTTTAAGGATATACAAATGAATAATTTAATTTTGTTTTTATTTTTAGGACACTACTATTTCTTTCAAGGATCTGACCAACTTGAATATGACACCCTATACAATTATGTCACCAAACAACTGAAAAGCAATAGTGGGTTTGGTTGTTAGAAATTGTATAATTAATGATGCTTGTATTTATTGCATTCTTGTTGTGTACTTAGTGATATGTATCATAAAACAAGAAAGTAAAATCTAGAGGTCATAGATACATAATAATTATAAAAATAAGAGTTTTCACATTTTGAAAACCCTTAGGATGTGACCACTTAATAGTCATAAATTACTTGATATTGAGTTTGAAAATAAAACCTTCAAAGGTGAAGAGAATATCTTTTAGAGAACACTTTATAAGTTGGTTCTTTGAACTAGTTAACTCTTTAGACTAGTTACCTCTTTGTTCCCCATAATTATAGTTTCTATGACCCATGTAGTAGTTAAGGTTGTGTGTCAACTTGGGTGGGCTGTCGTTCTGAGCAGCTGGGCAGCTGGATGTAGTTATTCCTCATGATGAGATTGGTAATCAACTCCATGGTGGAATCAGCTAAGTAGCTGCTTTTGGGATGTGGCCTACTTCCAGTATATATGGGGAAGGTTTGAGGAAGGTCTTGAGCTTCTTGGCATATCTGGATCCTGCATTTGTGTGAGTCATCAGCGTCTTGCCATGTTGCCTGCTGATTTTGGGACTGTTTCTGGACTTAACTAATGGCCTGCTGTGTTGCTTGCTGATCTTGGGACTGTGCCATTTTGCTTATTGAACTTGGGTTTGTCAGCCTCAGCAGCCAGCAGCTACATGAGTCAAAAAAAGAAAAAAAAAAAAGCCTTTAGCTCTAGTGGGCCTGGGACAGGAGGTAGAGCTGAAGCCCAAGGTTAAGAGAACTTCACCCAACCCCTAGAGCTGGCACTTTGAACTTGGACTTTCAGCCTTCTAAACTGTAAGAAGGGAGCTCTGGTAGCATAGTGGCTAAGACAATTGCCTGCTAACCAGAAGGCTGGCGGTTCAACCCCACCAGCCACTCCTCGGAAGGAAGGTTGGGCAATTCTACTTCCGTAGTGATACTGCCTCGGAAACCCAAGGAGGGGTCGCTATGAGTCGGGTTTGACTTGACGACACATAACAACAACAACAACAACAAACTGTAAGAAAAGAAATCCATTTGCTAAAGTTATCCACTTGTAGTGTGTCTGTTATAGCAGCGCTAGAGAACCAAAACAACCAGTAAGTATTTCAGCAAGGATACCATTTTATTTCAAGAGTAAAAACAAAATATACTTAGAACTTTCAAAGTAGCAATTATGTAAGAAAGCTATTTAAATGGTAATAATGTAACTTCATTCTCTTATCAGTGTTGATTTTCATTATATTATAAAGTATACATATATTTTTGCTCAAATAAAACTTTGAAAGAAAGAAAATGATTTTTAAGAAATTTCTTCTTGAATATCAGAATGTGTTTTGAAAATAACTTTTGAATGACTCCTAAGTAAAATAAATCTATGTTCCTCTACCAAGAGATGAATAGACATACCAACCAGAGGAAAGGAAAAGGTTAGATTTGTTATGTCCACTTCTAAGGCACCTGTATCCTTGGGCTCAAGTGAAGAAAGCATTCTTCAAACTGCACATGGCCCCAAAAGATGTCTGACCTAAAGTATATGACCAAAAATCTAGAGAACAGATAAAATGAGAAATTTCCATTCTGGTAAAATTAGATTTCAGCTCAACTCTTGCAATGTGGGCCATGCAGTTGCTGTGTGACCTGGTCAAATAATTAAATCTAAGTTTCTTCAAATTTGGGAGGAAATATTAGCAATACTACCTCATATATTTATTGTGAAAAAGCTAGTGCTGGTAGCTTGGTCACCCATGTGTCAATTTTCTCTCTTGTATACATTTTAGTTGTTTTGTGCCTTCCAGTAGAGTCTGACTCATGTTGTTGTTGTTGTTGTTGTGTGCCATCGAGTCGGCCCCGACTCATAGTGACCCCTCCGTGGGTTTCCGAGGCAGTATCACTATGGAAGTAGGATTGCCCAACCTTCCTTCCGAGGAGTGGCTGGTGGGTTTGAACTGCCAGCCGTCTGGTTAGCAGGCAAGTGTCTTAGCCACTATGACTCATAGTGACCCTATATGACAGAGTGGCTGGTGGTTTTGAACCAACAACCTTTAGGTTAGCAGCTGAGTACTTAACATTGCACCGATAGGGCTCCTACTTTGTAGAACTCCCATTAATTTATGGATTTGTGGAATGCTTCTAGCTTTCAATTTTATTTACATTGGTGATGTACTTGTGCCCCAAGAAATAGTCAAGCCTGTTTGAGCTCAGATGCTTATTTCTGACTAGTGGAATGAGCTGAAAATCTATCAGGTGAGATAGGATCAGAAGGAGTTTACATGGGGATAGATCTCTCAGTCTTTCATAGTTCATTTCTATTCTCTCAAGTATGTATGTACTCCTTCAGCACAATTTTAAAGTTGTCTTTGCAATGAGTAGGGTCAAGTCATCCTTAAGAAGGATCTACAAGCTGGTCTTCAAAAGAAAATTTAAATGGTACTCTTGGTGGCACTGTCATTAAAGCATTGGGCTGCTAACCAAAAGGTTGGCAGTTCTGACCCACCAGTCACTCCTTAGGAGAAAAGGTCTGCTCCTGTAAAGATTACAATCCAGGAAACCCTATGGGGCAGTTCTACTCTGTCATATAGAGTCACTATGAATCAGAATCAACTTGATGCCTGTGGGTTTGGGTTTGGGTTTGGGTTGAGTTGTGTTAGGATTTAGGTGACTCAGGAGGAAATGGTTTCTCTTAAATGATGACTAAACTGGAATAAAAACTGAGTACACTTTTCACTCCCAAAACTTACAGTGTGAACCTTCCTCTCTCTACTTCCATTTGTGTTATATTTTCAAATGTTAACAAATCCTTATGCAGTATTAACCATGCTTTAGGCACTGTCATAAGTGCTGTACAAAAGAAATTAATCTTCATTACAAACGTTAAGTGTTTATCATCATTTTTATTTTACTGATGAGGAAATTGAGGCACAAAGAGGTACACTCACTCACCCAAGTTCATGTAGCCTTGAAGTCATGATTCAAAGCCAATCAGTCTAACTCCAGAGTTTGTTTTTAACCACCACAAAATCCTTCCTTTCAAATTTATAAAATAAAAAAAAAAAGAAAGAAAACCCACAAACTGAAGTCATTACTCTTGGTACTTTACTCTATACTGCTTTGCATTTTCATAGTTGAAAATTCGTTAAGATGTCATAAGAATTCTGTGTGTTCAATCTGGGGAAAAATTTGCTCTGGGAAAGGAAGCAATGATTTGTCACCTGGAACTACATGACACTCTTTCTAGGGTTTGTGATAGGAACCTTAGACAAAGTTTCTTCAACTTGCAGATTGCTCAGGAATGAGTACAGGTAGTCCTCAACTTACATGAGGTTCTATTCTGATAACTTTTACTTAAGTCAGTTCCAACATAAGTCAAATACCTACTATTGCCTTTTATTATCGGTATCTTTATAAAGCCAGTCTTTGAACATCTGTGAGTGAACATCTGAGAATGACAAAATCAGCAAATTATACACAGCAACACTGCATGTAGTACATAAGATCTTAAAAAAATGAAACAATACAAGATGGTCATAAGTGAGGTTCGTTATAACTCAAATACATTGTAAGTCAAGGACAAGCAAGATTCTCTCTCTCTCTCTCTCTCTTTTTTTTTTTTTCCACAACAATTCTCTTAATAGAAGCATTTGTCCTTGGGGTATTTTCTTTTTCCACATTGTTCTTAGCTAGTGGTACAGTGCCTAAGGCATTTAACTGCTAACCAGAAGGTAGGTGGTTCAAACCCATAAGCTGGCTGCTCTGCTGAAGGAAGATGGGGTAATTTACTTCCATAAAACTTTACTACTCAGAAACCCAGTAGGGGTCTCCATGAGTCAGAATCAACTCATGATAGTGAGTTTGTGTTTTTTGTTTGTTTGTTGTTTGGTTACCCATCATAAGGCATTTGGCTACTAACCAGAAAGTCTCTGGTTCAAATACACAAGCTGCTCTGCAGGAGGAAGATGAGCCAATCTACTTCCATAAAGATTTACAGCCTTGGAAATCCGATGGGTGTCACTGTGAGTGATGATTGACTCGATGGCAGTGGGTTTTTTTTTGTTGTTGTTGTTGTTAACTACCCATTTATCCTCAATTTGGCTTTAGTTTACTGTGTGTGTATGCTTGCATGTGTTTGGATGCACACATAAATAGACAGAAAAGCAAAGCATTGCAAAGTAGATTTTATTAAGACTGTAGTTCATTTTTAGTGAAAGGGCCTTTTGAAATATATAATCTATATACTGCAGAAAGTGAAGGTGTGGTTTGCCTGTTGACCTATTGTAAATATCTTGGAAGGCAGAGTTCTGATCAGTGACAGTACAAAGTTCATGATATCGATAAGTTAAAAAATTTGCTCTGACTCACTGTGTGATTTTAGAAGTCACTTAACCTCTTTAAATCCTAAGAAAAATAATATTCACCTTATAGGTATGTTCTGAAGATAGACAATGATTTGTCTGTCAGTTTGTTGTACTGCTGTAGCTTGCTTATTGGTGAGGTTGGAGCCTATGCCACTGATATTTCAGATACCAGCAGGGTTACCCATGGTGGGCAGCTTTCAGCAGAACTTCCATTTAAGACAGACTGGGAAGAAGGACTAAGCCATCCACTTCTGAAAAAATTGGCCACTGAAAACCTTATGAATACCAGTGAAACACTGTCTGATATATTACTGGAACACTATGAATAGCAGGGAAACATTGTCTGATATAATGAGCAGAAGACAAGCCCCTCAGGTTGGAAAACACTTAGAATATGACTGGGGAGGAGCTATCACTTCAAAGTAGAGTATACCTTAATGATGTAGGTGGAGTAAAACTTTCAGGACCTTCATTTGCAGATGGGACAAAATAGACTCAAAATGGGAAGAAAACAGCTGCAAGCATTCATTAGTAATAGAATGTGGAATTTACAAAGTATGAGTCTAGGAAAATTGGAAGGTGTCAAAAATGAAATGGAATAGATAAATATCAATATGCTAGGTATTCCAAAACTAAA